AGTCATAGGGGATGTACGCGGGATACGAGCCCCCCGCGCTTGGTTTTTTTCTGTAGGGCGAAGCCCCCACCAGCGCGGCCTCGGGCAGATCGCCCACAAACAAAGTTTGCCCAGAGAACAGCCGCTAGACGAAGTCCACGTGCGGCTCCATCCCGAGGAAGGCCTCATAGACGGTGACAAAGCTAGCGATATGCAGCACCCCAGTCGGATTGAGGTGCTGCAACTCCAAACCCCACTCATTAAGGAGCCCACGCAGGAACCAGTGCGCGGGGTATCCTAGCCCACGCTCATGGAAGGCGAGGAAGGAAACCACCTCGTCGGGCCAAGGTTGTGGGAAATCCTCCCTCCCGGGAGCCCTCCAGTGCACCACCACCTTCGACGGCAGAAACCCCTTAATGGCGAAGGCCTCCAGCACCGACTCCCTCACAGTGGATGATCTCTAGCCTGACATTTCGCTCCGGGTTCGTGAATGGATTTGTGAGTTTCCCCCTCTCCCTCGCTCTCTCCCTTTTCTCTCCTAGGAACCGCCACGGCACTCAGACGCTCTTGGCGAGAAGGAAGAAAGAGAAGAGACGGCAGATGAGGAATAGGCGAAGGAACGGGGCGAAAGCCCTTTCCCTTCTCCTACTTAAAGAAATGGGCGTAGCAGTTGGGGAAGGCGCGGCGATCAGGGAAAGGCAAAATGATAGGAGCGAATGGGATACGATGGGACGCGCCCTGACCGATGAGACGCACCCTGCCCGATGGAACGGTGCCTGATCAGACGGGACATGGCTTGGCTATGGCCCACCACTACAGCACGCCAGGCGCAAGAACCAAAGCGCCACCACGCGCAGGCGGCTCTCCGCCTCCCCAGGCCGAACTTGTAAAAGGCCCAAACTACGGGATCTCCGCCAGGAGAGACCAACAGGCTTGCTGAATCTGATCGAACGGCTCAAGAAAACACCGAGAGACAGGTAAGGAGCAAAGGGACGCCCCATGTAGGCCATGCCGACTCCGTCACGAACGACAAGCACAGGTCCTGATCGGACATTTCTGATTGGAGCTCTTGAAACCCCGTCACTCGAGTCATCAAGGTAACACTACTGACCCCCGCTATTTCTTTATATAATTATTCATACATTCATACACGCATTCATTCCATACGCCCATGCTCCCCGGACGATTTGGGCCCTGAATCGCCTGGGGGCTCGAGAACTAAGGCATCACACGTGTGGCGAAATCCATCACAACGCTCTGTGTTGCGTCACGAAGCGGCAGTTGCCTCATTCAATATGAGCAACGATCGACCGAGGTTCGAAGGCCGGCCCACAAAGGGCTCGAGGCCACCTCATGTCAAACAAAGCCAGGGGAGAAAATGTAGATGAGCCCCGTGCGGCCCTTGCCCAGTCTGCCCCGAAGTGGACAGGGTAATCTCAACCTTCTCGTTCGATCCTAAACCTCTCGCCAAACCCATAGAATCTCCATCGAGGGGAGGCCAGCGGGCCACTCGGGTCAGTCTTTGGAATGACCCAGGCATCTGCTGGGTTGTAGGTAAAGGAGCAGTGGAATGTCACAAGAGAGCTATGCCGACCCCGTCACGAACAACGGACCCGGATTCCACTCGATCAGACCCGTTAGCGAGCTCACCGAGCACATCACTCAAGCCCGAGCGATCGAGGCAAGCGACAAAGCTTGGCCCCTTCGGTTGTGAGAAACCAAGGATGGGGTAAAGCACACAACTCAAACTGACCCCTACCAAGCCCAACGGGGCTCGGGGGCTCAACACACCAAAACGCCTAGGTCTACGACCCCGAACTCGCCCCATCCCTCAGCTACGCCTCGACTGCACACCAAACGCCTGGGTCTACGACTCCGAACTTGCCCCATCAGGATCTACGACTCCAACTCTCCCGATCCCACGGCGCCCACCGACGCCAGGATCCGCGAGCTCCGTCTCGTCCGATCCCTAAACTAACTGCCTCGGCTGCGCGGGCTGCACCGACGCCAGGATCCACGACTCCGACTCGCCCGATCCCACGGCGCGCACCGACGCCAGGATCCACGAGCTCCATCTCGTTCGATCCCTAAACTAACTACCTCAACTGCGCACACTGCACCGATGCCAGGATCCATGACTCCGACTCGCCCAATCCCACGGCAGGCACCGACGCTAGGATCCGCGAGCTTTGTCTCGTCCGATCCCTAAACTAACCGCCTCGGCTGCGCAACGATGCCTTGGTTGATAACTCCATCTCGACTAAAAAACACGCACACACGCCCGCTGAAAAAACCCCCCAGACGATTCTGCCCGAATCGCCCGGGGGCTTAGGGGCTACACCCGCGGGTGCGCTCGCGTGCACCTGCTGTCAACACAAAAATCCCCTAGACGATTCTACCCGAATCGCCTGGGGGCTAGGGGGCTCCTATCGGGTTCATGAACCCGGGGTCCCTCATGGACCGACTTCCTAACAAAGGCTCAGCGCAATAGACAATGTTGCAAGCAATGCACAACTCATGGGCCGGCCCAAATACCTAAGACGACAGGCCAGATGGACGATCTGATCTCCAACCGGAAAGCCTGGACGAGGAGGAACGGCACCCGCTTCTGACTCCTGCTTGCCTCTCCGATCGAAGCGCTCGCTTCGGTCTCCAGCCCGCCTCCGGACGGCCTCTCCGACCGGAAGGCCTGGCCAAAACACCGCTTCCGACTCCGACCCGTGTCTCCGACCGAGAATACGCCGAACCCTTGCTTACAAGCTCCTTTCCAACTGGCGTAGCCGGTGCCGACTAGGGCCAACCGACCGGGGACGGCCGCTCGGTAGGGACCAGGAAATGGACGGAGAAAGTAAGGTAGGGCGCACAAAGTCAAACCGCAACACCAGGGACCGTACCCTGTGCACCTGCCAGGCAGTACCGTGCGACCCTCCTGGCATGACAGAACTCAAGTAGTATTGTAGACGCCGACATTTTCCCCTACAGTGTTGTGGGCGCCGTTAACTCCCATACGAAACAATTACGGTAAGGTTCCCCCCACATGCCTCTGGGCATCGACAATGTTGTGGGCGCCGACATTTACCGTACCAGGGGAACATGGTAAAACCCCTTGCATGCCTCCAGGTACCAACAGTGTGGCAGGCGCCGACGTCTACCATACCCGAAGAAAACAACACAACCTCCCACGTGCATCTGACATTGAACAGTGTTATGAGCGCCTACCATCATTCTGTACCCGTCGACGTGGGCGACAAGACTTAGCATCATACATACTCTCTCATTCTCACTTGTAAGGCCATTCCCTTCATCTATAAAAGGGGGTGTGCTCTCTCCCAACAGATTAAGTTCATTCAGTTCATATAGATTCAATCAGATCGATCAAGTTCACTTAGCACATAGCGGAGCTCCCGTCACTCTCGGCCCCTTTGGCCAGAGTCCGACCGGACCTCTCGTACCCCCATCTTTCTCCTTCTCGTTTGTAACCCCACTGCAAACTTCGAGCACCTGGGCTCAGGAATAAAGTCACCGACCAACTCAAACTGGACGTAGGGTACGTTGTCTGAACCAGTATAAATCATGTGCCATTGAGTGCTAGGCCACCTCCGATCACAACGTACGGCAAAACTACAAATATTTACGTGTTGGTCACTTTCTGCACCGACAGTTAGTCTTATCCTAGTTGAAAGCATGTTCAACACGCAATCTACGTTTTCCGACGGCCAAAAATAGACTAAACCAGAGATGGAAATTAACAAACCGGACGTAGAACAATACAACCGGCTTAGCTAGTTCTGGAAACCAGCCTAGCCAGTTTTCTCGGGGCCTAACAGCTTTGCCGGGCGGTGAATAGGAAGCCGGTTTTGGCTGACAGTGCTCAATTTCTTGAATTCTTCATTTGGACTCTGTTTTTTATGTTCTAAATATTTTCTTCAACATCTTGACGCCAAGAACTTGACAAGGAAGTCCATTACTCCTGTTGGGACATTTTTGCTATCAACATATTGTCTCTTTTTCCCATCATGAAGAGATTTTTTTTTTGCATTTTCCTAGGTGCTCGTTTAATATCTATTTCAAATTATAAATTGTTTCTAGATAAATACCTTTTACTATACATTTAGATATACATTTATGTCCAGGTACATAGTAAAGTTTATGAATCTAGAGAAGCAAAAACAGCTTACAATTTGCAACCGAGACAGCATGAAAGATAAATGAGATGAGGTACAGTGAACAAATTACAGCGTGTTCGGCTGGCCGTTTCTGGCTGGCTGGCTCCTCTTTTTTTCCAGCTGAAACAGTATTTGTCTTCCACTATTTTCCAGCTGCTACAGTAAATACCAGCTGCTACAGTACCCCTATTAATGCCAGCCGAACACTCCCTTAAAAGGACCGTGACATTCGGCAAAAGCACTGAGCAGAAATCGCTGTGGAGGGGTACGACGTTTCCATTTTTCAAATATATATAGTGACAGCAGAAATCGTTTCAGGTGTGAAGTGTTTGAAACCGCATTTCGTCTCGGCTTTCTTTCCACTGTCCGCTGTACGTAGTCTACTGACAGGACGATGCAGTTTGGTAGCCGGTCGTTCACGAAATTAAAATGTTTGATGTCACATTGCATGTTTTGGATGTCGGAAGGGGTTTTCGGATACTAATAAAAAAACTAATTACAAAGCTCGTCTGGAAACAGCGAGACGAATTTATTAGGCCTAATTAATCCATCATTAGCGCATGTTAGTTACTGTAGCACTTATGGCTAATCATAGATTAATTAGTCTTAAAACATTCGTCTCGCAATTTTCAATCAAACTGTGTAATTAATTTTTTTTTCGTATATATTTAATACTCCATACATATGCCGCAAGATTCAATGTGATAGCTTGGGATGAAAATTTTTGGAACTAAACCCGGCGTGAGTGTTGTCCCTCCATCGACCATGATGACCCATTCCATTTCCGTCTTGTTCTCCGTCTTCACCACGGAACACCACCTCCACCCCCAGTGAAGTGGTGACCGCCGGCCGGCAATGGCAGCCGAGCCGGAGGACATCCACGACGAGGAACCCTTCTCCCCTTCCATCTTTCTTAACCTGTCCCCGACTCCTCCACACCCCGATGACCGGGACCTGGCGGCAGCCTCGTCATCCAACTCGTACCACCAGTACCCCAACAACCACCAAGCTCCGCAGACCTCCACTGAGATCCTGTCCGTCTCCGACCCGTGCATCGCCAACACCATTAACGGCGAAGTAGGCACATGCTTCACCCTCTCGCTGTGCTTCCCCAACACCGCCCCCGTGTTGGACGGCGTGACCTGGCCAGGGGGATGTGCTTCCCCAACACCGCCCCTAGGGATGTGCTCCTCGGCAACTTCCAGAAGATGCGCCCACATGTGTTCATCATCTGTGTCGAGAACAGCTTACACAACGCGCCATACTTTCTAGGACGGTTCCAGGATGCATTGTTCTACTACTCCTCGATGTTTGACATGATGGATGCAGCGGCACCACGGGACAATGACCAACGCTTGCTGGTTGAGCAGGACCTCTTTGGACGCCGCGTTCTGAACGCCGTCGCCTGTGAGGGATTTGATAGGGTGGAGCGTCCTGAGACGTATAAGCAATGGCAGGCACGGAACGATCGGGCAGGCTTGAGGCAGCTGCCACTGGATCCTGATATTGTTAAGGCTGTGAGTGACAAGGTTAGGGACAACTATCACAGGGACTTTGTCATCTATGTGGATCAAAAATGGCTCCTGCAGGGATGGAAGGGACGCACACTCTATGCTATGTCCACATGGGTTGCAAACGATAACGATGGTATCTCAGATCCTAGCTAGCTAGCAACACGAGTCATGTCTTTGTAATATACTTATGTGACATGCTTCATTAGGTAGGTTGTACTATTTTTTTCAGCAAGCTTTCCTTGTGCTGCTTCAAGAGAGTCAAGTTGGCGTAAACCTTCTCTCTCCGTTTTAAGCTTCACTTTAGTGTAACACCATGGAGGGCCCTATGCTGATAGAATTGATACTGATTTGTCACCGATGCATGGTAATGCTATATAAAAAAAAGGGTTCCCCGCTGCCATTTACTTAGCCTGGTCACTTTCAGTACCAGTCCTCATTTTCTTCTTTTCCTTGTCTGTCTCCTGAACTTTCCCAGCGCCCCTTCCAGTTTTATCTGTAAGCTGAACTCTTTTGTTGTTTAATAAATAAATGTGCTGTAGGGGGTGCAAATCTCTCCAGTTTCCCTAAAAAAAATTATATATCCGTTTCAAATTATAGTTCGTTTGACTTTTATGACTCTAAGTTTGACTACTCGTCTTATTCAAAAATTTATGCTAAATATCACGTCTTTTGTTGTGGCTTGCTTTATTAACAAAAAGTTCTTCAAGAATGACTTAAATTTGACTATGTTTGCACAAACTTTTTAAATAAGACGAGTAGTCAAACTTAGGGTCAAAAAAGTCAAACGAATTATAATTTGAAATAGAGGGAGTAGTTATGTATAAGTTTTAGCAGTCTGTGATAAGTCCAGAGTTCACTGTGCTAGGTGAATTCCTGAAGGTGTTACGTGTTAGAATCGTCATGCAAACGTTCAGGTCGTTTTACTCCATGTCAAGGCAGACCCTTTCTACATTTTTATCAGGTGCAGTAAAACGACCTGGACATTTTTCAGTAAAGAAAAAACAGAAACCGCCGCGGAGGGATCTTCAACGACAGACATGTGCTCGGGCTCGGCTGCTCGTGCGTTTAAGGCGTCAGTGTTTGGATTGAAACTGCATTTCGTCCTCGTTGGTCCTGTTCGTTTGAACTTTTCAACTGGCTTATTAGCTAGAGTGTACAGAATTTCTCTCACAATAAATCAGTTAAGGTTGACTTATCAGCCGGCTTTAATATCAGCCGAACAGGCCCGGTCTCCATCGTCCACAGTCGTCTGCTCTGCCAAGTCTCCAACAAGAAACTTATATGGACATCTAAATCCAAAATGGATAGCAAGAGATCTAAAATCAGCCTTCAACAGAGTATCTATACGGGAGACCTATTTTGGACTGTCTCGAGAGACACAACCTAAATATGGGCATCCTCTCTCCTGGAAACCCATTTACAGAAATAATTCTCTTTTGGCTCTAGTTGTTGGAGAAGATATCGAATAGGTATTAAACATTTTACCTGTAGCGCTACCAAAAGACGAATAAATTTAGTATTTTAGTTGTTGACGTTGGAGATAGCCTCAGCAGTAAAAAGAAAAACAAACATTTCCTGACTCTGCTGCGGTCACGGTCGCATCTGGCGGCCTCCTCCTTCCGGGAACCTCCACCTGCTGCCCATCCGTCCCGGTCCCGCCCCGCCCCGGCGTCGTCAAGGTCCAGTCCAGCTTCCCCTGTTGTTTAACGAAAAGCTCCGTTCCCAACTTCCGATCCATCAAATTCAGAGCTCTCCCGTTGATCCATCCCATCCCAATCCCATCCATGTCTCTCGTCAGCAGTGCAGTGAGCGACTAAAGATTCAGTTTTTTTCGCCTCCCGGCCGGGTCCCGGCCATGGCTGCCGAGCCAGCGGGCCTCGCCGACTCCCAGACCTTCTCTCCGTCGGACTTCCTCAACGTTCCCCCAACGCCCCGCCTCGACCTCGACTGCCCTGCCCAGCAGCTGCAGGACGACGATGACAACCTGGTGCTCCCCTTCATCTCGCGCATGCTCATGGAAGAGGAGATGGACGGCTTGTTCGAGCAGTACCACCCGGACCACCCCGCGCTACTCCAAGCCCAGCAGCCCTTCGCCGATATCCTATCTGACGCTGCCGCGAGCACCACCACCACCTGTTAAATCAATTAGGATCTCCAGCAGTAGATCTAGGAGGGACACCCTTAGATCCGTAATAGCACATGCATATCTAGACCTAGAACACTACACCGAGAGGGAGATAGGGTAGAGGTGCTGGTGTTGAACCTGAGCCTTCGGAAGAAGTCACGGTTGAGCTGGCCATCGCTGGTTCGTTGATGGAGGCAGCACACGGGCAGCGACGGGTGAAGTAGAGGTTGCACGGACGTCGATGCAGTGCAGACGGATGGCGTAGCAGTGACGACGGCGAAGTCAGCGGAGCTTCCCATCGCTGGCTGCGCGCCCTCTTAGATCGGTCTAGGGTTTGTCGGTGGGGTTTGCGGCTCACGGTGAACCTCATACCTCGAGCCGCCGGCCCCCACCTCTTTATATAGCGCAGTGCGACGGGGGCCCACCAACCATGTAGGGTTGGGCGCCTCCGATCAGGGCGCGTGAACAAGGCCCAATAGGCCATTGGGTTTATTGGCTGAGAGATCAATCTAACATTCTCCCCCTTGATCTCACTATTACTTTTATCTTTAAACTTTAAACTTCAATCCTTTTATCCTTACTCATTTCTTCACAGATGATGCATAGAGCATGTTTCATCGTTACGGTCAATCGCCGATAGATTTAACAGCTACAATGCACGTCTCTGATCTGAAATAGTTACTTTAACTTTTGGGCCCTTTATAGTCCAGGAATCATAGGCTTTCCCTTAAACCCATGCCGGCTACATGTTCTCTGAACACGTTGGGTGGTAAGCCTTTTGTAAGCGGATCCACGAGCATCTTTTCGGTACTTATATGCTCAAGACTTATCATTTGATCCCGAACTTTATCCTTCACAACATAATACTTTATGTCAATGTGTTTGGCAGCACCACTTGACCTATTGTTGTGAGCATACTATACTGCTGGATTATTATCGCAGTATAACTTCAGTGATCTATTGATGTCGTCAACCACCTTCAAACCGGGTATGAACTTCTTTAGCCAGTTCACCTGCCCCGTTGCCTCATAACACGCTACAAACTCGGCATACATTGTGGACGATGTAGTGACGGTTTGCTTTGAGCTTTTCCATGAAATAGCTCCCCCTGCGAGAGTGAACACATATCCAGACGTGGATTTTCTATTATCTCCCGCATAATCAGAATCTGAATATCCCACTACATGGAGTGAATCAGATCTTCTATACGTCATCATGGGGCCTTTCATTCCTTGCAAATAACGCAAGACTTTCTTTACCAATTTCCAGTGTTCTATTCCAGGATTGCTCTAGAATCTGCCAAGTAACCCGGTAACAAATGCCAAGTCAGGCGTACACACTTGAGCATATTGCAAGCTTCCGACAGCTGAAGCATATGGAACCACTTTCATTTGATCGATCTCATATTGGTTCCTGGGGTATTGAAAATCCCCATATCTGTCGCCCTTGACTATAGGAGCAGGTGAGGGACTACATTTGTGCATACTGAATTTCTTTAAGACTTTTTCTATGTATGCCTTTTGTGACAGTCCTAATACTCCTTTACTTCTATCTCGGTGAATCTCGATCCCTAGAACGAACAAAGCTTTACCAAGATCTTTCATATCAAATTTTGAGGATAAAAACTTCTTTGTTTCCAGTAGTAGACTGACATCACTACTAGCAAGTAAGATATCATCCACATACAGGACAAGAAAGATAAACTTCCCATTCTTAAACTTTGCGTAGACACAATTGTCCTCAACATTATCTTTAAACCCAAAATTCTTTATTGTCTGATCAAACTTCAAGTACCACTGTCTTGAAGCTTGTTTTAATCCATAAATGGATTTCTTTAGGTGGCATCCCAAACGTTCTTTTCCTTCCATAACAAAACCTTTCGGTTGTGCCATGTAAACATTTTCTTCTAAGTCTCCGTTGAGAAATGCCGTCTTTACATCCATCTGATGTAATTCTAAATCGTAATGTGTCACTAATGCTATTATGATTCTGAAGGAATCCTTACATGAGACTGGAGAAAAGATCTCATTGTAATCAATCCCTTCTCTTTGTGTAAAGCCTTTTGCCACAAGTTGGGCTTTATATCTCTCTATATTCCCTTGAGAGTCAAGTTTTGTTTTGTAGACCCATTTACAGCCCACTGTTTTGGCTCCTTTAGGAATTATCTCCAAATCCCAAACTTTATTTGCATTCATTGATCTCATTTCATCTTCCATGACCTCAAGCCACTTTGATGAATGATCATTTTTCATGGCTTCTTCAAATGAGGTGGGATCATCCTCCATTTGAAATTCTTCAGTGTTGTACACTTCATAATCAGCAGGAATAGCTGATTTTCTAACTCTTTGAGACCTTCTAGGGGCCTCCTCAGTCGGCACATTTTCTGTTTGAGGCTGTTGTTGCTCCCCCTCATGTGTGGCAATAGTTTCTATAGGATCCTGAGGAACAGGTTCCTCATCATCATTCATTGTTGCCACAGGCGGGATAACAACAGGTGCTGGCACCAAAGTGTCTTGTACTGTCGGTGCAGTAACAGCAGGTAGTGAGAAAAATGGCTCATGAATGATCGGAGTGGGTGCATACACCCGCTTCTCTTCAAGGTCAATTTCTCGAGCTACCATGCTCCCCCTAATCATTTCATCCTCTAGGAAGACAGCGTGTCTCGTTTCCACAAACTTTGTATGTCTGTTAGGACAGTAGAAACGAAAACCTTTTGACTTTTCTGGGTAGCCAATGAAATGGCAACTCACTGTTTTGAGATCTAGCTTCCCAATGTTTGGGTTAAAAACTTTAGCCTCAGCAGGGCTCCCCCACACACGTAAGTGGTTAAGTGAGGGTACTCTTCCTGTCCACAACTCATACGGTGTTTTGGGCACCGACTTACTTGGTACTCTATTAAGAATATGAATGGCTGTTTTTAATGCCTCCGTCCACAGACTCATCGGTAAAGTGGAGTAACTTATCATACTACGCACCATATCCATCAGGGTACGGTTACGCCTTTCAGCTACTCCATTCTGCTGAGGTTCGCCCGGTGTTGAATACTGGGCGACTATACCATTCTCCTGTAAGAACCTTGCAAAAGGTCCAGGAACTTGTCCATATGGGGTATGCCGACCGTAGTACTCTCCCCCACGGTCAGACCTGACTATCTTAATCTTTAAATCATGCTGATTTTCAACTTCTGCTTTAAATATTTTGAATTTATCCAATGCTTCTGTTCTTTCTTTAATTGGATAAATATAGCCAAAGCGAGAGTAATCGTCTATGAATGTTATGAATGAATCATAACCATCCACACTTTTCACAGGAAAAGGACCACATATGTCTGTGTGAATAATCTGTAGAATTCCTGCGCTTCGTTTGGCATTTTTCTTAATTTTCTTTACATACTTTCCTTTTATGCAATCTCTACATTGTTCTAAATCTGAGAGCTCTAATGGAGGAAGAATATCATTCTTAACTAGTCTTTCTATTCTCCCCCTCGAAATATGGCCTAAACGACAGTGCCATAATTTCGACAACGCATCGTGAGCTCTCTTTCGTTTTCTGTTTCCATTGTTCGATGAGGATACATTTTCATTCACATCACATACGGAATTCACATTTTCACGAAGTGATAACAAATAAAGCTCGTCTTGTCGGAAGGCAAGACCAACACATTTATTATTAAACAATATCTGACATTTGCCATTTCCAAAATGGCAATCATAACCATCATGGTCCAACTTTGATACACTAATCAAGTTTCTTTGCAAAGAAGGTACATAAAGAACATCTCTAAGAAAAAGTATAAAGCCATCAGCAAGCTCTAGAGGAAGATCGCCAACGGCCTCAACATCTGCTTGTACTCCATTTGCGACTTTAATGAAACTTTCGTTTCTTTGCAAAGTTCTCATTGAACGGAATCCCTGTAATGAATTAGCAACATGAATAGTTGCACCTGAATCAATCCACCAAGTAGATTTTGAAAACTTTACATACAAGGATTCATTTACAAATATAATGATGTTCTCACCTTTATTTTTCATAATCATCTTTAAGAAATCGGGACAATTGTTTTTATAATGTCCCATCTTCTTGCAGTAGAGACACTGGTCTTTATCCACTGGGAATTGCTTGTTCTGAGACTGTTGCATGGGACATTTTCCAGATAACTTGGAGGAAGAGCTGTTATTATAGTTCTTTTTCTTATCTTTTAGGTAGTTGACAGTACCACCCTGTGAAACTTTTATCCTTTCCTCCTCCTGCACACACATGGCTATGAGCTTTTCTAAATCCCATTTTTAGGCTGTATGTTGTAATTAACAACAAATGTGTCAAATTCTTTGGGCAAGGAAACAAAAATCAAATGAATAAGAAACTCATCCTTGAATGCCAAATCCATTGGTTTGAGCTTAGATGCCAGATTGCTCATTCTCAGTATGTGCTCTCTAATGCCACTGCCGCCACCAGAGTACCTTTCTGTAACCAGCTGCTTGATCAGCTGGGTTGCATATGTCTTTAAAGAGCCAGTGAACTGACTCTTTATTCTTTCTAGATACTCTGTGACCGTGTCACAGTCTGGAATTGAGCCCACAATAGCAGGCTCAATCGTGTTCTTTATCACTGCCAAACACTTCTTGTTGGCAGTGACCCATTTCCTATGCTCAAGGTCATAGGATATCTTTACGGGAGCAAAATCCCGCTCTCTGTTGTGCCATGCAGCATCAGTCTCATCTGTCTTCCTCACCGGTGCCACAGGTTCTCTGGGACACGGTGTGGTGACAACCCAGTCCACCTCAGCGAGGATGAAAGCCAGGTCTATCTTTTTCTTCCACTCAATATAGTTATCACCTTTTAGAGTGGGGATCTCTTTGATACAACTCATCAAGTTGTATCCTCCTGAAAACATAATTCAAATAGTGTGAGAACAGAAATAACAACAATAATTGCATGCCTTAGTTTAATGTTGGTCAAAATTAAAACATACAATTATTTTATACATTAAATCTACATCACCGTTGGATAGAAATAGAAATAATGCATAATCATTAAAATTATAATATTGCTATTAACAACGTTGGTCAGAAAATAACAATATCATAATCAACTCATATTTATCTCTTGGCTCTTAAAATCAAATTCCCCCGTTGGTTCGAATTTAATTAAAAGTCCATAATTACTTTAAATACGCAGCGGAAATATTAACATTCAATAATCATTTTCCTATTTTCCAGAAGCAACTTTACTATTTACTAAACAAAAAATATCGTTGGATAAATTTTGTACAGAAAATTATCATAAAAATTCAATTCAAATTGATCAAATTGTTTTCTAGAAAATAAGAAAATTAAAAAAACTATGACTGTACTTTTGTTTGGCCATTTCGGCCCGATCCAGCAACAGTGCGCGAGGCCCAGCGAAAAAACCCATGTCAATGCGCGCGGCCCAGAGCCAAAAGGCCCATGCCTCCCCGCGCCTAGATGCCCGCGGCCCAGCAGTGTGGCGCGCGCTCCCCCGTGCCCAGGCCACAACCTGGGCCTGGGCCGGCATTTCGGCCTCGCGCCCTATCCCGCCTGGGCTGCGGCGCTGGCCCGATCAACTCCGTCCATCCATCTAGATCGAACGGTGGAGCGCACAGCTCGGGGCATCAAAAACCCCGGCCGGCCGCGCGTCCCTCAACCCTAGCTTCATTCTGTCTTCCCCTTCTCTCTCTTTGCGTCGCGCACCAGAGCCACAGCGGAGCCGGCCATGGCGGCCAGAAGGAAAAAGAAGTACGGCGCCGCCGCGGGCCCCCTCGCCGGTGCGCGCGCTCCCCTTTGGGTGAGCGCGCCGCCGTCGAGCGGCCTTGCGTTGGTGCCCTGAGCTCATCCGCCGGCCGGATCTCAGCTCTGTCCCGCGCGCCGTTCGGGAGCGACGCCGCGGTCACATTTCCGCGCGGTGGCGATGCCGTCGGCGTGGGTAAAAGCCCAGGTAGGCTTCCTTTTTAGGGTTAGGGTTTGCTTTTCCGATTTGAAATCGGTTCTTTTCCTTCTCGATCGATCGAGCGGCGGGCGCGGATCCCGTGAGCTATGCCTCGGCCGGCCTATCTTTTTCCCCCACGCCACGGCGCGGATCTGCGGTACACGCAAACGCGAGGTAGGCTACCCTTTTCCCTTTCTTCCCCTTCCTGGATTAGGGTTAGGGTTTGGATAGCTTTTCCCCCCGATTTGATTTCTTCTCGGGTAACTTTTCTTTTCTTTTCTCGAACCCGATCTAGGGTTAGGGTTCGATTTCTTTTCTTCCCTGATCCAGATCTACTACTAGACAGACTAGCTCTGATGCCATTGTTAAATCAATTAGGATCTCCAGCAGTAGATCTAGGAGGGACACCCTTGGATCCGTAATAGCACATGCATATCTAGACCTAGAACACTACACCGAGAGGGAGATAGGGTAGAGGTGCTGGTGTTGAACCTGAGCCTTCGGAAGAAGTCGCGGTTGAGCTGGCCATCGCTGGTTCGTTGATGGAGGCAACACACGGGCAGCGACGGGTGGAGTAGAGGTTGCACGGACGTCGATGCAGTGCAGACGGATGGCGTAGCAATGACGACGGCGAAGTCAGCGGAGCTTCCCGTCGCTGTCTCCGCGCCCTCTTAGATCCGTCTAGGGTTTGTCGGTGGGGTTTGCGGCTCACGGTGAACCTCGTACCTCGAGCCGCCGGCCCCCACCTCTTTATATAGCGCAGTGCGACGGGGGCCCACCAACCATGTAGGGTTGGGCGCCTCCGATCAGGGCGCGTGACCAAGGTCCAATAGGCCGTTGGGCTTATTGGCTGAGAGATCAATCTAACACCACCATCACCACCAAATCATCCGGCGGCGCCAATTCCAATTCCACCGCCGCCAACAGCACCCCTGCATTCGCCAACGCCACCTGGCCCTACGATCCAGTCGAGCTCTCCCAGATGCTCCTTTCTAGGACATAGCCGTCCGACACGGCAACATACCCCAACGCCGACTCGCTGGCCTCCTCCGCCATGTTCTGCGGTGGCACGGTAAACATGGACATGCTCAACCTGGTGTTCGTCAAGGGCATGGAGGAGGCCACCAAGTTCTTGCCCACCACCACCAACAGCCTCCTCCTCATGCCCATCTCCTCCGGGTTCGGCAGCGGTGACCATGACAACAAGTTGTGGCGTGCCCGCCAACCAAAGAAGATGGGGAAGCCGCAGGTGGATGGAAATGGAATGTCGTTACTGTTGCTCCAACAGAGTGCTAACAATGGCAGCAGGGGCCGCAAGAACAACAGGCATGCCGATTGGGGTGATGACCTGGAGGAGGAAGCCGAGACAGGCAGGAGGAGCTGCAAGCTGATGGCGGCTGAAACAGAGGAAAGCGAGATGGTGGACGAGTTCGTCCAGAGCGGGTACCAGACGCTACACGAGCAGATGATGGCCATGACCCTCAACGCCGACGACGGCAGCAGGGACGCCGACAAAAAGAGCTCCACCAGCAGGAAGGGGAAAGGGAGCGCCAACGAGGCCGTGGACCTGCGCACCTTGCTGATCGACTGCGCGCAGGCCGTGGCCGGCGGCGACCGTCCCAGCGCCACCGACCTGCTGAGCAGGATCAGGGAGCGCTCCTCGCCGAGGGGAGACGCCACGCAGAGGCTAGCGCACTGTTTCGCCAAGGGGCTGGAGGCGCGGCTCGCCGGCACGGGGAGCCAGGTGTACGGGTCGCCGCTCATGGCGAAGCACGCCTCCGCGGTGGAGCTCCCCAAGGCCTACCAGCTCTACCTGGCGGCGTGCTGCTTCACGGCCATGGCGTTCAAGTTCTCAAACCTGGCCATCTGCAAGGCCATCGTCGGGAGGAAGAAGGTGCACATCGTGGACTACGGCGACCATTACGGGTTCCAGTGGCCGACGTTGCTGGGCTACTGGGCTAACCGGGAGGGCGGGCCGCCCGAGACCGCCATTGACCTCCCTCAGCCCGGGTTTCGCCCGGCTGCTCGGATTCAGGAGACCGGCCGCCGGCGAGCGAAGTCGGCGTCCCGTTCAGGTTCCACAGCATCGCGGCGGCAAAGTGGGAGACTGTTTGCGTCGATGACCTCAACATTAAGCACGACGAGGTGCTCGTCGTCAATGGCTTGTTCCATTTCGGTAAGCTGATGGATGAGGGCCCTGACATAGATAGCTTGAGCCCTAGGGATATGGACCTCGGCAACATCCGGAAGATGCGGCCGGACGTGTTCATCCTCTGCATCGAGAACAGCTCCTACAACGCGCCCTTCTTCGTGACACGGTTCAGGGAGGCGCTGTTCTTTTACTCTGCACTGTTTGACATGATGGATGCGCTGGTGCCACGGGACAGCGACGAGCGCGTGTTGGTTGAGCAGGAGTTGTTTGGACACTGCGCCTTGAACGCCACTGCTTGCGAGGGCTCTGATAGAGTGGAGCGCCCTGAGACGTATAGGCATGTAGTGGCAGGTGCGGAATGATCGGGCGGGGTTGAGGCAGCTGCCATTGGACCCTGATAAGGTTAAGGGCATCAGCAAGAAGGTTAAGGACAAGTACCACAAGGACTTTGTGGTTGATGTGGATCAGCAAGGGTGGAAGGGGCGCATACTCTATGCCATGTCTGCATGGCTTGCCAATGATAGTATCTCATAGGTACATGCTTGATTAGGCTGTGTGTTCCTTTTGTGCTTAGGTAATTAGCTACAAGTTGTGAACAGGCCGCTGGCCTGCTGCGGAGCTTGTGTAAATGTAGTGCAAACGGAGGTCCTGCTGCGGAGCTCGTCCTAAAAAAAATGCATGCAATTCTAGAGTTAAATTGAACCAGTCTTCTAAGTTTAACTAAGTTTAAAAGAAATACTATTAATATTTATGACTCATACTTCGGAAATATATTTTATGATTAACTTTTAACGATATTTATGTGGCTACATTATAAATGTTGTATTTTTATTTTCAATAATGTTAATATTTTTTTATATATTTGGGTAAACTAAAATAAAAAAAAGTTTGATTCCTCAAACAACCAGAATTGTAATCTTTTTGAGGCATAGGAAGAGTAATTAATATGTAGTCAACAAGCAACAACCCATTTTATGGATTACTTGTTTGACTGTCCATGTGGTAAGGTATCTGTCCAAAGAAGTCTGGTCACGTGAAGTTGACAAAAGCAAAAAAAAATTTATCAAAAACAGGAGGGGTAAGACCCCTACTGTGCTTTATTAAAAGGAGAAAAGGTCCCAATACAAAGTCTCAAGAAACAACAAAACAATTTTAATGATTACTTGTTTGACTGTTCTTGCGGTGAGGTATATATGCGTCCTTAGGATTTCACAATCTGTTGTAACATCATGAGGATTTTGGCAGTTTCCTTGGGTCTGAAAAGTGGAAACTTGCGTGATTCAGCGTGGAAGCTGAATCATACCGGTTCTACAAAGTACTGCTGTCCCAAAAGAGTAGTTTTAAAATAAATTTGCAAGTTTTTCTAAATTTATTACTAAATTTACAGAAATAAGATCAACAATTATGTCTGCAAATATGTTTGTACTAGTAAAAGAGATGACAAGCTGGCGATTGAAATAAACAAGAGGCCACCTCTAGCAGCTACGAAAGGCGCCTCTCCAAAATAGTCGCTCGTAACTACCAACCATACATCTAGGGAAAAACCATTGAAAATGCAGTCAGCATGCATGATGTTTAAAAATTAGCCAACCAACTAATATGATAACAAATTTTGAATTTAACTTGCTAAGAATTTGCACTTAAAATTTTCAAAATTATTAAAACAAAAATCTGGGAAAAAAATGCTACCCCCACTCATCCCCACCCTAACAAAGAGAAAAATGACTTTTCAGGCTCTGCCATGCTAATTTAGATAGTTTCCACACATGGTGATCTTGCTAGATGGTTTGCTAGAGCATCTTAGTAGTTCTAAAAAGACAATTGGTAAATCAATGAGTTTTTCAAGAGCCTAAAAAAAGGTTAAAAGCATATTTGTTGGCTTCCTTCAACTGTTTCTAAAATCTCACACTTAAAAACAGAAGGTAATTTTGCATCAAGAATCTCGGACTACTATCTAATCACCACAAAAACTTTAATATTTTCTTTCTCTCTTGTATATTTGCATTGTAAACCTTGTCCTTACTTTTTATTCTTATCCATGTCCTTCCACCTTTAGATTGACCTATTGATACATGCGCACCTATATGTTTGCACAATTGGATCAATTTTCCTAAGTCCGAAAGATTAGGAATTGAGATAAGGAGTTGTTGCAGAGTGCTTTTTAATAAAAACATAAAAAATCAAATTGGAAGCGGATTTTAGAAAGTCTTGAAGATGCTCTTACGGCCGTGCCTAGCGACTGTGCTAACAATAGCCCACTCGCGCGGGGCGGGCCGAACCCTGCCCTAACGACCTCCCCACCGCCGCCGTCGGCGGTGTCGGCCGCCACCCAGGCACCGGCGCCCCCACCTCCACCTTCCCTCCCCTGGGCACCATCGAAGCCACCGCGAGATCTGTGTGGGACGTCAGCCCCGTGCGCCTCCGCAGGAACCGCCGGCCACACCACCGCCGGGCGCCGTCGCCGCGACCTCCGCAGCCAGTGGCACTAGATCCGCGACCAATCCCGTCGGATCCAGCGCCAGGGCATCCTTGCGGTCCTCACCGCCCCGCAGACGCCGTCGTCGGGCCCCGCGGTAAGCCCTTGCCCATGGGAACCAACGCTGGAGGCCCTCCACGGGCGCCCTCCCTGGCCTCCGTCGCCGGCAGCCCCAGGTCCGTGGCCACGGCGACTCCGCGGCCCTCACTGTAACAGAACCGCCCAATTTATACAAGATTAAGTATGACTGTCCCCGTTAAACACGTTGACACGCGCATACCGTCACTTATATAAACCCAGTAGTCCGTCGAGTACCACGAAGGCCTCGATAAATCAACTTCACAACCAAGATCATAATTGATTAAGCAAATACATGTCACATATACAGAGTTTGCAGCGGAAATAATATTACAATAGGGTCACAAGTAATTAATACAAGTTCAGTTTCAAATCTAATAGGTTAAAACAACATGACATTGAAATGATTACCAAATTATAATTTCGAATCATATTGCTAGCTCTGATGACACCCTCCAACAAAAGCATAGATGAGAAGAAAATACAGAATAGCCAAGCCCACCGGCACTTGTCACCACCTTCAACAGACATAGCACTTCACCTGCAATAGGGTGGGATAAAACCCTAAGTACTCAATTGTACTCAGCAAGACTTACCCGACAGGAGAAAAAAATAAAGACTCAAAGGATATGCATGGTTTATTTGGTGGAGCTAGCTGGATAGTGTCGGGTTCATAAACCCGGGGTCCCTCATGGACTGGCTTCCCAACAAAGGCTCGGCCCAGCAGACAAATGTTATGAACGACGCACAACTCATGGGCTGGCCCAAATACCTAAACAACAGGCCAGAAGGGCGATCCAATCTCCAACCTGAAGGCCTGGCCGAGGAGGAACGGCGCCCGCTTCTGACTCCGGCCCGCCTCTCCGATAGAAGGCCTCATTAAGGAGGAACAACGCTCGCTTCCGACTCCGGCCCGCCTCCGGATGGCCTCTTCGACCGGAAGGCCTGGCCAAATACCACTTCCGACTCTGACCCGCGTCTCCGATCGGGGATGCGCCGAACCCCTGCTTACAGCTCTTCTCCGACTGGCACAATCTGAGCCGACTAGGGCCAACCGACCGGAGACGCCCGCTCGGTGAGGACTAGGAAACGGATGAAGAAGGTAAGGCATGGCACTCAAGTTAACCGTAATACCGAGGACCGTACCCTATACACCTGCAGGACAGTACCCTGCAACCTTCCTGGCATGTCAGAACCCAAACAGTGTTGTGGGCACCGATATTTTCCCTATAGTATTGTGGGCGCCATCAACTCCCATACCAGACAAGCACGATAAGGCTCCCCCCACATGCCTCTGGGCATCAACAGTGTTGTGGGCGCCGGCATTTACCATACCAGGCAAACATGGTAAAACCCCCTACATGCCTCTGGGCATCAAAGTATGGCAGGCATCGACGTCTGCCATACCAGAAGAAGACGACACAACCTCCCACATGCATCTGACATTAATAGTGTTATGGGCGCCTACAATCATCTTGTACCCGTGAAAGCTCTAGTTTGTTTTTGGTAAATTGATGAAACCCTAAAGTGCTAACCTAGTTTATCAAGTGATCATGAGATAGGTAGCACACTCCAAGTGGTGAAGTAAATGAAGATCGTAGCATGATGATGATGATGGCATGGTGATGATCAAGTGCTTCGACTTGGAAAGAAGAAAGAGAAAAACAAAAAGCTCAAGACAAAGGTATATTTTGTAGGAGCTATTTTGTTTTGGTGATCAAGACACTTAGAGAGTGTGATCACATTTAGGTTTGATAGCCGTACTATTAAGAGGGGTGAAACTCGTATCGGAATGCGGTTATCAAAGTGCCACTAGATGCTCTAACTCATTGCATACGCATTTAGGATCTAGTAGAATGCTAACACCCTTGAAAATGTTTGTGAAAATATGCTAACACATGTGCACAAGGTGATACACTTGGTGGTTGGCACATTTGAGCAAGGGTGAAGAAGATGGAAGTGAAAAGGAGTAAGTGTCGCTAGTTATACAGTGACTGGACGCTGGCCTCTAGGGGACCAGCGCGTCCGGTCATGTGTAGCAGTGAAGACTCCAGCGTCGGCTCCTGACCGAACGCTGGGTCACCCAGCGACCAGACGTTGGAAGGATGCGTCGGTCGTGTTGTCAGACAGCACAAACTGAAGTCAGCGTCTGACCGGACGCTGGCAGGGTCCGGTCAAGCATGACCGGACACGTCCTGTCGGCAAAATACATTTCTAAAACCTTACTGGAAACGACCAGACGCTGGAGGCTTAGAGTCCGGTCAGTTGTAGCGGAATGTCCGATCAACAGATGAGCGTTGAGATCTGACGACTCCTATTGAACGCAGTGTGACATGTGGCTGACATCGGGCGACCGGACGCTGGGTCCAAAGTCTAGTCAGTATGACCAGAGCCTCCAGTCACCCCGTACTATACCCAGTGAAGGGGTACAACGGCTCTATTTCGTGAGGGCTTCTATTTAAGCCCCATGGCCGGTTCAAGCTCTGACTCTTGGCCATTTTGCATTGACATAGCAACCTTGTGAGCTTAGCCAAAGCCCTCCCACTCATCTCCATCATTGATTCATCATCTTTGTGAGATTGAGAGAGAATCCAAGTGCATTGCTTGAGTGTTTGCATCTAGAGGCACTTGGTGTTCGTGTTTCACTGCGGGATTCGCTTGTTACTCTTAGTGGTTGCCGCCACCTAGATGGCTTGGAGCAGCGAAGATCGTCGAGCGGAGGGTGGTGATTGTCTCCGGCTCCGATCGTGGTGATTGTGAGGGGTTCTTGACCTTTCCCCGGTAGAGAGCCAAAAGGTACTCTAGTGG